TGTCTTTTTCGGTGGTGATTTTGTCTTTTTGTCCTTGTTTCGGTCAATTTTGTCTTTTTTTTAAAGTTTTTCTGTCTTTTATGGTCATTTTGGTGTACATCTGTCCCTTGTGATCATCCTCACTTTGTCTCTTGTGCCCATTTTGTCTGTTTTTTAGTCTTTTCTTTTTCTGTCTCTTGTGCTCATTCTTGTCTTTTCCTGTCGCTTGTGTCACTTTTGTCTTTTCTCTCTTCTTGTCCAGTTCTGTCTTTTTGTGTGTCTTGTGATCATCCTGGCTTTGTCTCTCTTGTTCTCAATTTTGTATTTTTCTCTCTTGTGGCCTCTTTGAGGGTTTTTCTTTAACTGGTGGTCTTTTTGTCTTTTGCTGTTTCTCTTGTGATCGTCAAATTTGTCCTTCATTTTCCTATCCTCGCTCAGATAGAGTATTATGGCTCGCTTTGCAGCTTAAAGACCATCGCACAAATCAACACTCCTGATGGAAGCACCTTGATGATTACACCCTTTGACAAGGCAAGGTAAGGAAGGTATGCGTCAAAGTTATGTAAACTTTTATGCATTATTGTGACGAATTTTATTTAAATATTAATTTAATAATTCAGATTACTAATTAATTGAAGATTCTTTTCATTAATTAATGAATTTAATTACTTATTAATTTAATTAATAATTAAATTCATAAATAAATTGAATTAATTAAATTTATTAATCAATTTAATACTTTCAATTTGCAAACAGCATTTGAATTGTCAACACTTTAATTATTTATTTAATTGTTTTTGTTCTTTTTTTGTTTTTTTTTGTTTTTTTTTGTTTTTGTAATGTGCAAAGTTGCAAACAGCATTTGAATTGTCAACTCTAGGGGCGAGGTCCCACTAGGAAAGAGGATTGGATTGAACGACTGAATCTGGATGGGTTCTACGGAGAGATGCAGAAATGCTGTTCAATGAACTTCAATCTCAATTTTCTGCACCTCTCTGCGAAAACGTCCAGATTCAGGCACTCAATCCAATCCACTTTGGCAGTGGAACCTCGCCCAAGGTGTCTACCATCTCGCCACCAAATACAAATAATTTAATAATAACTATTAGAAACTTAGAAAGTTATTATATAATTTATTATATAATTTTTTATTATATAATTTATTATATAATTTATTTTTGCCTGTGTTACCAACCGGGCTGCCAGGGTCACCTCGGTTGCCTGGATGTGCCGGCCGGGCAAGGGCCAGGGAAGGTCCCTGTATTAAAAAAAGAAAAAGGAACCCCCCCCCCAAAAAAAAAGAAGTTAAAAAACTACATTTTGCAATGTGCAGAAAAATAAACTGAACAATTTTTGCCGCAGTGTCACATCAATTTTTTTTGCCAAGTAAATAAGAAAAGATATCATTTTCAATTTTCAAATTTTATTTTTCAATCCAATTTTGGCGCGACCGTGCAAGTGGTCCCGGGCCCCTCTGGTACCGTAGTTTTTTTCAGCTTTTTTGCCATTTTTTTGGTCGTGCATGTTTTCATTATCGAGTTCTTGTGCATAATGTGGGTCTGAATTTCTGTGAAATTATCTATTCGAAAATGCTTTTGACTTGTCAGTTCCGCCAAACATGCGCATCATTTGCCTTTCAGCACCAAACAGAACACTTCTAAATTCTTCTTCTTTTTGTTTTCACCCCCTAACTGCCTGCCCTTTTCATCTCCTCCACACTGCTGCACAACTTCCCCCCCTCCCCCTCCCCCCCGCTTACCCCCCTCTCCCTGTTTGACACCCCCTCTCCTCTTCCTCTCTCTTTAAGGAACTTCTTTTTCCTTTTTGACAGTTTTTAACTTTTTATCAATGATGATGGCCGACTTCTAGGTACCTTCTTGAGAACCCCAGATCTCTCTCTCTCTCTCTCTCTCTCTCTCTCTCTCTCTCTCTCTCTCTCTCTCTCTCTCTCTCTCTCTCTACTTCCCCTCATCTGTGTGTATATGTGTGTGTTTATGCATGGGTGTTTGTTATTGTCGCTGTTGTCGAGTGGCTGTAGCGGTATGACAATGTTGTTGTTGTTGCCCAGGCATTTTTGTGTGTGTCATCGGGCGAGACCAGTTTTTGGTGGTAATGGTTAATGTAGGGGGAGGGCAAGGGCACTCTTATTCTCTTTGGTTTATTCACTTTCCGTCTTTCTGGTTGATTGATAGCAGGTGGTTTGGACGCTTGACTCTGGTTTTGTTGTTGTTGTTTGTTTCTTTTCTTTCTTTCTCTCTCTGTGTGTGTGTGTGTGTGCGTGTGTGTGTGTGTGTGTTGTGGTGTCTGTGTGCATGTGTGTGTGTGTGTGTGTGTGCGTGTTCAGTTTGCAGAGTATAGAGAGAGCTCTTTTGCAGTCTGATCTGGGATTGACACCGAGCAACGATGGCACAGTCATCCGGCTGAACATTCCACAGCTAACGCAAGACAGACGGAAGGTCTACCGCCTTTCCCTTCATGCAGTGCCGTAATTGGATTCGTGTCTTCAACAACAGAAGGAGAAAGAGGGGGGGGGGAGGGGTGGTGGGGAGGATAAATAAATAAAATCTTCATCTTTTCTCTCACCGCTTTGTTTTCATCTCTAGCGTTCATTTTGAGCCAGGATCAAACTGTTTTTTTTTTTTTTTTTTTTTTTTTTTTTTTTTTTTTTTTCGCTTCTTCATTTTCTGGAATGTAGATTCGAATTTCGAACCTACAACCCTGTCTCTTATACACATCTAGATGTGTATAAGAGACAGCTGCTCCTTCGTACTAACTACTCGTATAATACCTAAAAGCGACTAATGCTCCCACCACTGACGATGGCACTCACACTGCCCCCGTAGTGCCGCTGTCGGTAGAAGAAAAGCTGTAGGGATAGCCTCTCATCATCACTGTCCAGAACGCTGTAAAGAGCCTTTGTTGCCAAGACGGGTTTCCCACCACGCACCCAATGGATACAACTCTAGTTTGCTCNTTTTTTTTTTTTTTTTTTTTTTTTTTTTTTTTTTTTTTCGCTTCTTCATTTTCTGGAATGTAGATTCGAATTTCGAACCTACAACCATCCAACCATGAGTTTGCCCACTACCAACTCTAGAGTCAATTATATCTGGAGAAGGAAGACCGATCATCTCTCAAACATCATTTCAATGAAACATCATTCCCATTCAATCACAAGTGATGAAGGTAAAGTCAAAAAGCAAATACAATTTCAGTAAGTCCTCTCCTGTGGGAAACAAGGAGGCAAATCCTACAGCGAAAAGCATCGTGTCAATTAAAAACACCGCCGGCGTTTTTAATTGTATTGAGCCTCCCTCCCTACCTATATAGTCTGTAATCCAACTTAAGATCTTGATTCCTAGTGAGTGGTCGTAATTGGATCATTTGTCCTCCCCTCATCTCAAAACTTGTGATCATCCCTCTCTCTTACCACTGACAATCCCCCTCCCCCCACCGATCTCAAACCTTGTGATCATCCCTCTCTCTCTCACCACTTACAATCCCCCCCTCTCTCTCATTCCCAGTTCCTTTACTCTCATTGTGACAGTCGCATTGTATCTTCGTTTCCACTTTTCCTAGTACTAGTGGGATCCCCATACCACCTCCTTCTCTTCCTCTTGCTCCCCTCTTCTTCTTGCTCCTCACGTACCTCCCGCTCCTCCTCCTCCTCCTCCATCTTCCTCCTCTTAGCTCGAAAGATTGTTTCACAAGCGGTGAAACGTTTCTCCCTCCTCCTCCTCCTCCTCCTCCTCCTCCTCCTCCTCCTCTTACTCATGGGATCTCCATGCCACCTCCTTCTCTTCCTCTTCCTCCCCGTCGTCTTTTTGTTTCTCCCATACCTCCTCCTCCTCCTCCTCCTCCTCCTCCTCCTCCTGCAGCTGGTGCAGTTGCAGCTGCTTCCTCTCTTGTTTGTCTTCTTCGTTCTCTTCCTCCTCCTCCTCCTCCTGCTGCAGCTTGAACCATACTTGCGAGGTTGAACGCTTGTGATGATCAGTGAACTGTGCTCCTTCTGATTGTGAGCTGCTCTGTCAGATAGAAAGAAAGGAGGCAAACATTTTCCGATTGACAAAACGAATGGTAGGCAAAGGCTCAGGAGAACTCTCGGGGGAGGGGAAGGGGGGGGGGAAGAAGAAAAAAGAAAAAAGAAAAAAACTTCAAAAAAGAAAAAAGAAAAAAGAAAAAACTTCAAAAAAGAAAAAAGAAAAAAGAAACAAGAAAAAAAGAAAAGAAAAGAAAAGAAAAAAAGAAATGAACGAGTCTTTAGAATGTTGGCAGGCTTGCCCAGAGTGGCAGCACCCATTACGGGTTGTTGGGTGAAACAGACAGTAGATGGGATTTGACCTCCGATCCGGGCAGAATATTTCAAAGTTTCTAGCATTTTTCTTTGTCTAATTCAGTGTTTTTTTTTTTTTTTTTCCGTTCCTGCCCCCCTACCCCCCTATACTATCTGTATGACCTGTCCAGTTAATATGAATTGATATTATCTGGCAGGTCCTAAAGGTAGTAAACAAAAGAAAAAAGTTCACAATTCATATTATCTGCCAGCAGCCTGCAGCAGGTAACTTTTTTTTTTTTTTTAAGGTTGTGCACGTTGGAGATGGTCTTTGTGGGGCCTGTGTCGCAAGGCCATCGAGGGCAGCCCGGCCAGGAGGACTGGCGTGCCGAGCCTTCCTATGATATTGGAGCGGGTACTACACTCGCCAAGCGTGACCCACCGCTGACGGCTCTGCCCCCAATGGTATTTCTTCCGCACAATCCCCCCTCCCCTCCCCCCCCCCCCATACACACACACACACTTGACCCAAAGGAGACTCTCTGAGATAGCACTCATCCTCACGTACCCTGGAGGATGGGAGGGTTTCGACCAGGACCGACGCTCCCTGGTACTCTTGGCGGGTACTAAACTGTTGACCTTTTTTTTTTTTTTTTTTTTAACTACCTACCGTGACTAACCTGAGAAAACCTCAAATTCAATCCAATTCACTGAATTCAGTCAAATTGAATTTAATTGATTAAACTTGGAATAAAATCCAATCAATCAATCAATCAGTTTATAAATTTACAATCAATCTATTCAACGCACTGAATCTCGTTCTGTTGGCGGATTTTGCTTTGCTTTTGCAGGAATTGTTAAAAACAGTTGCGAAGCTGGCGGAAGAGGCGAAGGTCAGCTGCTTTTTTTCTTATAATCTCTTATTTATCGTCAAATATATATTCCATTTGCAAACAGAACTGCCAGGTAAACCGTAGGCAGGGAGGGAGAAGACTCAGAAGAGGACAACAAATGAGGGGCTGTGACAAACTGTTTCGTCGGAGTTTCACCAACTCATCAATATATATATATATATATGAGTCGGTGAAACTCCGACGAAACAGTTTGTCACAGTCCCTCATTTGTTTTGTTGTCCTCGTCTCCCTCTCTGCGTATGGTTTACCAAGCAGCTCTGTTTGACGATATATATATAGCGGTGTGTCTGGAGTGTATTTTTTGGCTGTGACAGACCTTTCTTTGTTTCGTGG